TGTTACCCAAAGAACTGATAGAAGAGTCTTGGGGTTCGAAAGAGTCTTGGGGCTCGATCGTGGGAATCGATCCGGAAAACATGGCCATGGCCGCCATAGCTCAGTCGGTTAGAGCGTGGGTCTAATAAGCCCAAGGTCGCAGGTTCGACCCCTCCCAAGCTCACAAACGGCATGCTCCGCAGCCCCCTGTTTGGTGAAGTCGCTAAAAATTCACTGCGTAAAAAAAAATGATTAGGAAAATTGAGGTGCGTCGTCTTGGTAACATGTAGCGTAAGTAGCGGAATGTGGGACATAATTTGCTGATAGTATAATAATATTACAGTACTTGAAACAATAACCACACTGATGTTAGATCCATTATCGTTTACGCAGTGAATTATCGGTTGCTATTAACTCTCTTCCTGTTGTGGCAACGACAATTTACTATTTCTAACATGCTTTTGTCCGTTCCATTATTGCAGAATGCAGTGAGCAATGGAAATTAGAATGCAGATTTTGTCATTGTGAAGAAACAAGCCATCGTAAGAATAGAAAACGACCAATGATGCAGAGTGATGATAATGGAAATGAGAAAAAATGAAAATGAAAAATGAAAAAAGGAAAGCAAAAAGATGAGGGTGCGTGAAACTAAAATGAAAAAATGATGATGAAAAATGAAAAAATGAAAAAAAAAATTGAATGTGATGAAAAAGCCAGAAATGCGATTCTTTTCTGGCCTGTAGATTTCCGCTTTGAGAGTTCGTCGGTGGGCTGATCGTAATCAACTGTAACGCTTCAGCTGTTTACTGTTGATTTAATGTCGTGGGTTGCTTTGGCAAAATTCCACAGAAGAGTTGGGGTGGGGGCGGAACTCTCTCCAAAACCATGGCCCGTTTTTCCTGAATGGTTCTCTTAATACCAAAAAGGGTCGCTGGGTTGATTCGCTCGTGAATGACAATTTTCTGGGCATTTCGTGTTTCAAAAGTTCGCCATGCAAAAATGGTGTTAGTATGAACTATGAATGACAAAAGTGACGTGTAACAATTTACACAAAAGACTGATCTAACCACTAGTCAAAAGGTGTGAACCAAAACGGCCCCACTGTGATGTCACAACTTTCCCACCAGCTTTTTGGTCAAAGTCTATTTGAAGGGCTACTGTTGTCCTAATTATGTTGGAATTTATTGTTCATTCTTACTCCATTTTGCGAGAATTCTGAAACGTAAACTTAAACGTAAAAACAAAAATTTGTCACCATGAGGAATCGAACTAGGGACCCCCTTTTCAGGTATTCAGAGGGCCGTTCAGGAAAACGGTCCATGCGCTGTGGTACCTGCATGTGCCCCTATATCATGCAAGAAACCGTTTTGAAAAAGAATGGCACACCCTGAACGATCTCCCTTGTCAGGGTAGCCTTTTATCGTAAACTCACTATAGTTTATCAGCCGTAGGAAACCAGTAGCTTTGCCACAATTAATGCTCTTCTTGCGTCTCTGCTAGACGGCCAGCATCCGCGGCCCCAGTCCGACAACGAGAATAGCGGGCTACGACGCGGCGCAACGGGTAGGTCCTACTAGGGTCCATCTTGAAAGTGCCACGTGTCCATGGTCGACCGTGCAGATTTCAAAATTTTTAAAACTGTACAAAACAAAACAAAACTTTGCCCATTGGATAGAAGTTCTTCAGACAGTTTGCATAAACATAGGTGTGCTTGTAATCGCGAAGTACTCTACTCTCAGAAACCACCAAATTCTCTCCGAACCATTCAAACCTTCCTTTCTTTAGAAAGTGAAAATTGAGCCTTGACGTCACTATTGTAGTTACGAACCTTCTATTAAAAAGTTAAATCTTTCTTCAAGTGCGTGCTTATAAAATGGGATAGAATCTCGGAACTTCAAATCATTTCCTGTCCAAAAAGTAATTAAGCTTCTGCAAATGTTCAATTTTTCAAAAAATCGTCCCGTTGTTCCGTTTTTGTGCACACGCGAGTTTTCGACATTCAAACATTCATAACTTTCTTCATAATCAACTTTTTGCAGATGTCTAAGGCTAATTAGAAACTAGAAGATTAGAGCTTTCGAACAAGCACCGAAAAATTTTCGATCTACCACTCTTTCGAAAAATAGTGCCGTTTCTCCGTTTTTCAGAGTTTTTTTGGTTAACCCTTTGACGACAATGCGGATTTGCACGTAGCTTGCTCATGGGACCACGCCTCTTTTTGGCGCGCCCAACTCTCGCTCACAATTGGCAAAATTGTCCCTCAAAGCAGTTTTTCTATAGAATTTTTGACTTTAACAGTATACCAGATATAACTGCAGTTCTAGGCTTTCATACTGTATATTGTTTTCAAGAGAATTCCAAATTTGGAAGGGAACTCGGGTTTCGAAGGGAGGGAGAGCAAAACCTCCAAAAGTTTGAGTGATTCAAGCGAATTTTCGATGCACGTTCTAAACCCCTTCCCATATATCTGAGGCTATGAGATTGATTAGTCAATATAACTTCTGGCCTAATAATTGCAAAACCCCAATTAATATGCTGGCGAGCTAAGGGCACATTCTAAATTCTATATAAATTAGCCCTTAATAAACATTTCTGTAAGCCGTGCTATCCTAGTTATTATGGAATAAAAAAAGGATAAAGCATTTGCCGTTGATCAATCCCTTTTGGGATGCGGCACGCATTCTACTTCCATTTGTACATTCGTAGTGGCGTTTGAATGCGATGTGGCCTATACAATGACTTGCGGGGGCCAGCCGATGTACAAGTCAGTGTTTTTATCCTCCCAGACAAGTCTGGTACCAATTAACCGACCCCGGAGGGATGGAAGGCTTGGTTGGCCCGGGCGACACGACCCAGGATTTGATCCCCGGACCGCTCGCGTGGTAAGCGTGCCACTTGCCACTACACCACTTCCGCCCTTTGTTCTTTAATTACTTGTAAAATACTGAGGTAAACAGGTGAACGACAGCGCAGGGCGACATATAACACGTCGTCTTTTTGTTTCCGTGTTTACTGTTTGTAATTTGAAACAATTTCGTTGTTTATTGGCCACGCTAGATCAAAATTACAAAAATTCCCAACCTTCTGACGGCTCTGTTTGTAGGTTCCCCGGAAAAGGGTTTGGGCTTGCTTCCAGGTGACGCTTCAGTATTGAAGGCACAACCAGGCAGAAGTCGTGTGAACGATTCCCTTCGGTTCGTAGGATAGCCCTAGAGGACAATCACAGATGTGGCATTCCCGTGCACGGAAATCACCCGACAAGAGCGCTAGGGCCTTGCAAAGTAAGCTGCTGCAGCTGCAATTTTTTATCAGGCTGTTGTCTGGCGCCTCTCATCTGTGCGCTCTCTCGCCTCATACTCTCCTCTCCGCGCTTAGTCTCTCATTCCTTAGCACAGCCGATTAGAAGGTGAGTGAGCCCTTAACCTAAGCGTTTTCGACGGATTCTTTCCTTTTTTCTTTACTGCCGGCCCATTTCGCACCAATACATTCGCATTCGTGTGCAAGAACCATACAAATTTGATCT